CTTATGCTTGATGACGCGGTGACGACTGGGTGTCTTTTTGTGTCCAAGGTTGAACGCATTTCTGTAAATCAACAGCTCTATTTCATTGATTTAGATTTCTTGTGAACCAAAGAGAACGAACAGGACATACCAGCCAGTGACGGTCCAGAGAATTTTGGACCACTGTTTCAGCCTTTCGTAATGTTGTGGTCTTGGATGGATATTCGGGCTGAATGGGTTGGAAGTATACAGTGGGAGACAGAACCTTTTATCGTGATTCACGTCAATGAGGCTGGTGAAGAGATTTGGATTTTTGACGAACCTCTTTTTCAGCCCAGGATGCCTGCTTAGCATCCAGGTCAGAAAGGCATGGCAATTTGCTGGGGAGCCTTGCATATGGATAGAATGGATATTCCGTCCTCTTCTCGCTTGTGAGAGCCTGTGAGATGATAGAGGCAAAAGAGTGGCAAGGAAAGCTGAAGGTGTCGCCCAGAACCATGCAAAAAGTCTGGGTCTCACGTCACTGGACCTTCGGCGGCTATCCAGCAGTATTCCAATTGAGAGCATGAAAAATAAATAGGGAACTTGAAGGTGGTAAGTAGTCGTAGAAGAAGACCGGCCGTGGAACCAAACATCGCGTCAACAAAGTCACAAGAGTGGCAGAATTCGTCAAGTTTTGAGCCTATCTGAGCTCTATGGTGGTCTAGGATTTTCAAAGGGCATGGACAGCAGAGACAATAGATAGCAGAGATACAGAATCCATTCCAAACTTTGTTCGTGACGTCGTCAAGGACGGGCCAAAATGCGAATTTGTGAAGGACCCGGGAAGCTCCTATAGCCGTCCGGCGGCCAAATCCCCTCAAATCCCCAATGATTGTTGTCAAATCCCCAAAAAGTCGCCGACGGTCATCACAAAATGTCACAGAATGTCACGCCTTTTGGTCCTTTTTCAGAAAAAATTCTTGGCTTCGGTCCGCTGGCGTAGGGTACCGCCAAAAATTTCCCAAATTGGCCTGAAATCCCCAAAATTCCGCCGGAGAAATGTTCTTCTGGCCGTCAAATCCCCAATAAAAACGCCGGGAAAATGGCACTTTTGGAGGCCTCAAATCCCCCAAAACCGCCGAGCTCCTATAGGAGCTTCCCGGGTCCTATTTGTGACAATGTGACCCAAGGAAGCTCTTCCCCAACGTTCACCGCGACCACCATCCAGTTCTACCTCTCCATGCAGGACCTTCTTTGTCCTATCCCTCCCGTGAACCAGAGACAGCGAGCGTTGAAAGGGCTTGATTCCACAGGTCAGACTTTGTAAGTCGTTTTGTTTGTGCTGTCTCTATTGGCATTCGTGCTGCCTTTATTCGCGTTTCTCTGGTCTTTTTTCTATTATGGGAGGAGGGAAAGAGAAGTAGGAGAGATCTCTATTTGACGAGACGAGGTTTTTATTCATGGACCAGATTTCGGAGACGATAAGAGAGACGACACAACATGAGGTTTATCGACGACACGAGGTCTCGTTTGTCGTAGATGGGTTTTCTGGGCGAGACGAGCTTGTGTCAATGACGAGGTCTCTGGGCTTTTGGTTGGTCGGGACAAGGTTGTTTGGTTCTGGTTACTCAGACAAGGAGGAAGGAGCGACATCTTTTCCTCCTTCTCGCTCTTGCTCTCTCCCTTCCTTTCGTCTCTTTCCCTTTTGCTCTCTGCTTCCGTTTGCTCTTCCCTTCCCCTCCTTTCCTCGCTCACCTTCCTTCTTCTCTTGCCTCTCTATGCTACTTATTGTAGGATAATTATAGCTGATTTTAGCCATGCCAAGTCCCTAGCCTAGTGGAGTGAGGAGCTAAAATCCAAATATCATTGACCCAGTGTAAACGCATTTGGTTTCGCGTTTATATCCTCCGCCTCGTCGCCTTCCCTGTCGCCTCTTCTCGACAATACCTTCGTCCCTCCCCGAGCCTGTCAGCATCCACCACGCCAACCCCGTCGTCACTTTTATCATTGTTCTTGGTGGCGAGCATATTGAATGCTGCGGGCTTGAATTTGACAAAGTTGGATCCTGTACGTCGGGTTTCGCTGGTCTTTTTCGGTTTCTTTTTGTGGAGCACTCTGTTTATTTGTGGCTCTTTTCTTGTTCGTGGTCGTGGTCTTTTGGCGTGGTGGTTTTCGGCGTTGGGTATGGGAAGGGAGGCAGAGAGAGAGAGAAAGAGATTGGTCGCTTTTGTTGGCTTGGGCTTATTCGTGGTGCGAGAGAGGTCTTCGTGGACGACAATTTCGAGACGAAAGAGACGCGACGAGTTCTTTTCACGGTGGTCGAGACGGAAGGACAGAAAGGACGTCGAGATATCTCTTTCCCTTTTTCCCTCTCCCTTTACCTTATTCCTTTTCCTCCCCTCTTTCCTCCTGTATATCTCTCGCCCCTGTTTTGCTCTCATTCTTGCTCTCTCTTGATTTCACTCGTACAGCTCACGTTCGCTAACGCTTCCTCCTTTGCGCAGGTCCAAATATCCGCCATCCCCAAACCTCCCGCAAACGAGTGTGGTTACTGGGGATGTTGTAATATATGTGAGTCGTTTTGTTTTTCATTGTACGAGCGGTGCCTTCGAATTCGGATGAAGAGAGAGCGGCGGATTCGGCGTTTCCGCTGCAACGGTTCTGTTGGAATTTGCACGACGTGGCTTTTCTCTTCGTGGTGTACGAAGAGCAAGGCATTCAGCGATATCCAGTCTTTCTACTTTCCTCTCTGTGAATGTGTCTCGCACAAATCTTGTTTCCTTTTTCATATTCCGAATGCATACTGACACTCGAGCAGCCTTTCGCAATTGTCAAGGAGCACGTTGGCGCTCGAGTATATGAGAGTTGGTGAGCGTTGTTTCCTTTTGTTATTGCATTTCATTCTCTTTCAGCGTCGAATTCCTTTTCGCGTCTCTTTCCTTGTTGTCTTTGCTATACTTTCTTCTTCCTTGTCACATTGTTTGTCAGTTATGGCGTGGCATTCTTTGTGGCCTTTCCAACGTCGCTTTATTTCCTTCTCAAGCTCCAAAATGCAACGTCTACCAAATCCATTGGACCCTTCATGCATCCTTTCCCTCATTTCCCAAATCCATCGCAATTCCATCCTGTATCACGAATCTCACTGACGTCTCTCCACAGAATACATCACCTCCCTCGGCTGCACCTCTTCTAATTTCCTGTTCGTGAGCTTTCTGGTTAGGACGCCTGTGATGAGTACGGATATTTAGGTGAGTGCAACTTCTTGTATTCGATGGCCAATGCTGACTTGTTCTCTTTTCTCTTTTCTTCCCCTTATACCTCGTCGTTTCGCTCGCTTTGCTTACCAGGGCACCATGATCGTCATCCTCGGCGTATTCAGCATCATAGCATTCGCGGCCTCGCCTCTGAAACCGACGTCGCGCACCTTACGACTCACTGACGGCGCGGTGACTGGCTTGGGTTTTACGGTAGCGTTGGTGTTGTTTACGAGCAAGTTGGATGGGATTTTGGTTGACAGAGTAATATATCTTCCGTGCCTTTCGCAGGCAATGTCGGGTCTAGCGGAGCCACAAGTGGTATTGCCCCAATAGGAAGACGACCTAATGTCGTTTCCTGGTCTCTCGTCACAGTGATTTCGCTCTGGAATTGAACTCGAAGACTAGTGGGATATTCGGAGTTGTGGATGGTGAGGAAAGATGACAACTATTGCATGGATGCTTGGGATTGGGTGGGCGGCGGTGGATTTGCTGGGGAGTTTTGGTTTTTGCTAAGGCTATGTACGTCATCTCCCCTTTATTCTTTATTCTTAAGTATCTTTTTATATGATAAATCTAACCCTTCGCCACAGCGTAAAACTCCTCTCGGGATCATCAGTTCGGTCATGCTGCGCCGGTTTTTACCGTCATTCTCCTTGTTGTCACCGCAGTCCTGCAGATTATATGTCTGAATCAGGGATTACTAGAGGTGTGCGATCCAACATTGGTTGTGCCTGTTTTCTATGGGCTTTATACGGCTACTGGGTAAATCTCCTTCGCTTTTCTTTCATTCATCTAATCTAACGCTTGATTATTTGCCCAGCTTCCTCAACTCCCTTATCTTCAATGACAAAGTCGACGCATACCAATCATGGTCCCTTTTCCTGATATATTTGTGTCGATACTGGTATTGATATTGGGGGTGGTGCTGTTGATGCATAAGAAGCCCGAGCCGGGGGCAGGGCCGTGATCTGCTTTGGGATAAATTCGAGAGGTGCACTGGGGATGATTCCATGGAATAGGTCAAGCAAAGGAAGGGAAAGAAAACTGTTGACGAAGAAGCGGATAGGGAGGAAGGGAGGTTGTGGGCTATTGGGGAAGCGAGTGATGATGACGATGACCGAGTGGAAGGAGGTCTAGACAGAGACGACGTCAACGAGTGACTTGACGGTGGTGAAGAATATGACAACGACGCCGAATCTTTACAGGTCGATGATATTGAGCGTCAGAGGAGGGGGTATGACAAGGATATCGATCATCATCTGCATCCATTGTCTTTGGCATTTGAGGCTCAAGCAAAGTCTCTATCTCTTCTCGGGTCGCAGTCTCAAGGACAGCAGAAGTGTTAGAAGAGGCCAGGAAGTGGTGGGGTCGATGGCAGAAGAGGACGAGGATTCGTAGACTCATTAAGAATCTCATAGACTCATTAAAAGTCCTTGAAAATATGAGAGACATACAAATTACTTACACATGTATAATACTCACTGCTACATAGTCACATTTATATTTTGTTGGATTGAGATTTTGATTCTTATTTGTTTCGTGGGGTCTGAGCTCATTTGGGAGTAGGATGGAGTCTCATTTCATGTCGCACCACGACATTTTCATGTTACATTGTGGGGGATGCGGATTGCGCCACAAAGGACCTGAGGCGGACTTTTGGGTTTCTTGGAAATTTAGGGCATTAAGATAATTAAAAGTTTCATTTCAAAGACCAAAGACTCCCACAAAACATGAGAAATATGCAGTATTGAGTAAAAGACAGTGAAATAGACCCAAAAGGACTGATTCAACTTAGGTTCAAACTGAGGACCTCCTGTGTATATGAGCTTATGCTCAATATGTTATTTTGGCCAGATACAATAACCAACTACGCCATCAAACCAATGGTGTGCCTGCAGAAGATTAATCTGATGAAGCAGCGGGAGATACTCGAGATCACGGCCTGAATCGGATGAGGTACTTTACTCACAAAGGACAATCTACATGGTGGTGTTGAAAGACTTGAAAATAAGGTTTGATGTATACCGGCTCGGGGGCCAGGTTTTGGTTTTCCTGGGAATACATCAAAAGAAGTTGACAACTAGTTTGAGACTTGGATAAAGTATATAGTGGGAAAGTTTTGAATTCAATCTGTACAATTGCTGATCCCAAGGGTGTCATATCAGTTCATTTAGTGTGCTATTTAGTTGCAAAGTAGCCTGCGTCGAAGCCAATAAATCAAGGTCTTCCAAAGTGAAATCTGATGCATATGGACAGAAGTGTTGGTATCCTCCTGCCTTAGAATAGCCTCCTGCCTTGGAATAGCCTCCCCGCGGAGAGTTTTGTGCCATAGATTTTCATGATATTCCTACAATTAAACACAGAAAAATTCAGTCTGACTCAGTCTTCCAACATACCATCACTAAAGGACCTACCTTGAAACATATTAAAAAGTGATTCCAATGAGATATTACATTGGGTAGGACATGCTAGTCTCAGAGTTAGAACAATTTACCTAAATAGTGGGTAGAAAAAGAACTCACATTGGATTGTGTAATTGCCAATTCCAAGTCCTGTTGTAACTTCTTGCCACGGTCATATGGTTGCCACAAGGGCATCCACATGTGGATATTTGGTATCAAAATTCCGAGTAATTGGATAACCTGTGCTTCAAGTTCAGAACTCTCTATGCTCTCTTGATCATATGTTGTCAAGATTCCATTAAAATGATGGATCCAGCTCCGGAAAGCATAGATTCTGACAGAATTCCACTCCAGTTTCACCTCAGACTGTAGATAATGAATGATGATATCAATGCAGCCGAAAAGAATGTGTTGGTGAACAGTTGCAGATTTGAAAAACTGATGTTGGTGCCGATTTGAATCTTTTAGAAAGTCCTGCAAAGAGGTGTGATGTGGTCGAATGAAGTCTGTGGATGATTCTGGAAGAATCATAACAGAAAGGCATCCACGCAATGCCAGGTGCACATCTCCAACTGAGTCAAGACAGAGAAGTGAAGGCAAGTCACAAATCTCAAATGATTTGTGCAAAAGGGTGATAGCACCAATGACCAGTCCAAAATTTGGATAAGATTTAGCATCCTCGAGCACTTGCTTGTAGAGTGAGTCCAAGCCCTTGTGCATCCGTTTGGCACTCTCCAGATTACGCTGGGGGTCTCCATATTTGTCATCAATGAATCTGACAAGTGTTGATGCATAGGCAAATATTCCCTCGGACTTTTCAGCCAGAGAAGTCACAACACCTGGGCCGGGCCAGTCTGCACCAAGTTTTCGTCTTTCTGCAACCTTATGAAACTCGGGCAACAGATAGTTTTCTACATCCTTTATAGCAGGAAAGTCCTGGAGGGCCATATGAGACATTGAGGTGACTAGCTCAAACATCTCAGCAATGTCAGCTTCTGGTCGGCTGATGAAGAGGATGCGAAAATGGAGTTGTTTCACCATTGTGTCAATGAGGATCTGAACTAGATGTTCCAAGTGGACTTTGCCCTCAGCCTGATTATATTCATCAAGGCCATCAATGACAACAACAATGGGGAGGGCTGGAGGTTTGGCTGAAAGGACAGGGATGATGATGCCAGCAATCATTCTGAGCTGATCCTCCAGACGTTGGTGAAAAAGTCCTGTATTGGTCTCAAGAGCTTCATTGACTTTGTGCTCAATGGAAGTGATGCCTGTGCTCTTGGCCAGGGTATAGACAAAGGTAGGGATGAATGCAGACAGGTTGCTGCGGTTGGTATATCTCCTTGAGAAGAAGTAGCTGAAGGCAAGACAATGGTTCTCATCACACTGTTGAGCCACAGTATGAGCGATAGTTGACTTTCCTGCTCCTGCAGGACCAGAAAGCCAATGGACTGGTTCACCATGACCTCGAGCCCATTGATCTAGCTGCTTTAATACCTCTCTTCTTGTCTCTGGTGCACAAACTGATGCTTCCTCACGCTCCCGCTCATGAGAATTGTATGCCGTGTCATGCCTAGCAAGATCCTTGAGCTGCTTGGTCACTGCTGAGCAAACATAAATGCCATATTCCATGACAGAATTCAAAAAATATTACTGGGAGCGTGATTGACAATAGTGCCATAATTTTGACCGACATTGTTAGAGGCCACATCACGGCCCACGGTGCCTACAACAAATGTTGAGGACTCTCCTTAACATCAGCTCACATAGACCTACCAAAATTGTTCCCTGTCAGGTCTATTTGCGCAGCAGTCGACATATCAAAAAATGAGGGAGAGTTGCCCGCAAGTTGCTTGCTAGAAGTAAGCGCTGAGTCTAGCTGACCATGAACACGAGACTGCGGCGTGGACCAATCAGGTCCTGTCACGCGTCCCAAGACACTAACAGAGTCAAACAGAATACTTAGTTTCGCCAAGTCGCCCGCCAGGTACGAATCTTAGGGCTGTGCACCGTCCCGTCGACGGGATACGGCCGTACGTCTGACAGGTAAAAACGGGTACGGGTCGCCAAGACCCGTCCGTTGACAGGCTTCCAAAAATTTCAAATCGTTTGACGGGAGATAGGTGTCACAAGATCGAAACTGACTTTTTCTTGAGATTTTGCTGCTCCCAAAGGTGAGAAGGTGATGGAGTCATATCAGAATAGTGCTGCCGCGAGGTGAGGTCGAGGTACCTCCGAGGTACCGGATCCAGCATCTCTGTGAGGCGAGACCGGAGGTACCTCGCGAGGTCATTGCCTTTTTAGAAGCCCTTTTAAACTCCGCCGGAGTCCATTGCGCAGATGTCCGGTCCCAATGGTGAGTCTAACAAGCAACTGCGTTTCTGGCTGATCTATTTTTAGTCAGAACATATGTGAATAAGTATGTTGTGCTATTCTTTGGCTACAGTTTGGTTCTATATGGATCCCGCTGCCGCGCTGGTTTCCCGCTCGTTTGGGCAATGAGTCCGCATGATTCATTGTCTCAGATGGTCCCTTGTTTCCGAAATATTGGTATGACTACCTTTTTGATTCTATTCCTTTTTCTGTTCTCTTAGTACGATTTCTCTGACTTCCTTAATACTCTCCCTGACTTGTATTTCAAGTCACTCTGATTCTTTCCTGACTTGAGTAGCGGTTCCGAGTATCCTAGATTGGTATATAAGACTTGTAGTAGATACTTGATAATTCAGATATCTCTTGCCGCTTTTTTCTACTTGACCAGAATTCAAGCCGTCCGAATTAGGGCAATACCACAAATATGTATGAACACGTGTGAACAGGTGGCGCGTCTGTGACGTGTTCAAAGCTCGTACAGATTGGGCTAGATTCAAGCTAGATTTATCGAGTCATTTTTCATTATTTAATCAACATGAAATAGAACTAAGTACCTTATGGCAAAATTGCTATAGATTTTGTACTGGGATAAATCTTCGACCGTTTCAAGTGAGAACTCAGCAGAGATAATAGATAGCAGAGATACAGAACCCATTCCAAACTTTGGTCGTGACGTCGTCGAGGATGGGCCAAAATGCGAATTTGTGACAATGTGACCCAAGGGAGCTCTTCCCCAACGTTCACCGCGACCACCATCCAGTTCTACCTCTCCATGCAGGACCTTCTTTGTCCTATCCTCCCGTGAACCAGAGACAGCGAGCGTTGAAAGGGCTTGATTCCACAGGTCAGACTTTGTAAGTCGTTTTGTTTGTGCTGTCTCTATTGGCATTTGTGCTGCCTTTATTCGCATTTCTCTGGTTTTTTTTCTACTCTGGGAGGAGGGAAAGAGAAGCAGGATAGATCTCTATTTGAGGCGGGGAGAGAGGGAGATCTTCTCTGCGTATTTTTGAGACGAGACGAGGTTTTTATTCATGGACCAGATTTCGGAGACGATAAGAGACGACACAACACGAGGTTTATCGACGACACGAGGTCTCGGTGAACTTGTGTCAATGACGAGGTCTCTGGGCTTTTGGTTGGTCAGGACAAGGTCGTTTGGTTGTGGTTACTCAGACAAGGAAGAAGGAGCGACATCTTTTCCTACTTCTCGCTCTTGCTCTCTCCCTTCCTTTCGTCTCTTTCCCTTTTGCTCTCTGCTTCCGTTTGCTCTTTCTCCTTTGCTCCCTTGCTCCTCCCTTCCTTTCCTTTTCCCTCGTTCACCTTCCTCCCTCCTCCCTCGCCTCTTCTCATAGTCGCTCCCTTTACTCTGCTACGCTCGTCTAGTCATTTTACTCGCTGCCGCTCTTTTCTAACCCGCTCCTTTTGGTCGTCTCGCTGACGCTCGTGCAGGTCCGAACATCCAGTGCCATCCCAAAACCTCCCACAAATGGGACTGGTTACGGCCGTTGTTTGTATATGTACGTTGGATTTCTTGCTTTCCTTTCCCTATTTTCTGCGACGGTTTCGTTGGAATTCGGACAAAGGGGGTTCTGTTTTCGTGGTAGACGAAGAGCAGAGCCTTCGGCGGTTTCCAGTCTGCCCCTCATCTCTGCCCTTCCTCTTCCATTTTCGCTGCGAATGCGCAAATGCGTCTCGCGCGAATCTCGTTTCCTCGCAATTCTCTTTTGCAAGGGGTCTTTTGTGCAAAGAGAACTAGAACCTTTGGATGTCAGACAGATGCAATAATCAATTATGCTATTGAACCGATGCCTGAGGAAGATCAACATGATGACTCGGGTGGGTGGAGGATTGACTGATGGAGTAGCAGCAGATACTTGAGATCATAGCTTAAACCAGATGAGGTACTCAACTCACAGGATGACGAGGACAAGTTCCTGACTGCCGGAAGAATGATGCCATGAAGACAATCTATATGGTGGTGTTGAGAGATTTGAAGATAAGGTTTGATGTATACTAGCTTTTAGTTTTCCTGGAAATACATCAAAGTTTTGCAAATCAATCTGTACAATTGCCGATTACAAGGGTGCCATATTAGTTCATTTAGTGT